ATGATGTCAATAGAAAAATTAAATTTCTTAATTTACATCGTGATAGTTTTGCTTGTTATCTGATGGTTCGTCATCTCCAAAATAAAATTGCTTAATTTTTTCAGCAACAACTTTAGACATTGAACTTCCTCTTGGGAATTTCAAAGTATATGGAACAATAGTTTCAAAATCGGTTATCATAGGTTCTTTGAATAGTGTAAACATAAGACCCTCACTGGAAGTATAACCAAAGATCATTGGAACTTTATTGAATTTTCCAGATTTTAAAATGTTTATTGGTTCATCGCTCAAGAACGCCTCCTCATATGGACTTAAGTTTTCAACAACTGGTCCAAATACTCGATGTGCTCCAGCATGAGCTTCAATCAACTGCAAATTGATGTTATTTAAGTTTAACATTTCAAAAAGTTTTGTTCATCTACTAACATCTGGTATTTTCCAATGCGCATCAAGTAAATCCTTTTTGTCTGCTTTTTGTAGGATGTCCAGCATTTCTCTCTCGCTTTTGCAATTTTCGTATCCTAAATGTCTCATGTATTCTTGTCTGCATCTTGTGCCCTTGGCCCAAATATTTACAGCAACGCCACTTTGGCAAATTGCCTTATGAAAAAGCCCATTTGCCATTGGTGACAGCACCAAGTAATGGACCAAGGCTCCTCCAGAACTCTCACCAAAGATTGTTACGTTATTTGGATCCCCGTTGAAACTTTCAATGTTCTCCTTTATCCAGCGCAATGCCATTACCAGGTCTTTCAAACCCGCGTTTCCGGGAACTCTCAAAGTTGTGTCTTCGAAACTCAAAAATCCTGAAAATAATCAATGAATTTGAAATTTTATAATAAATAGGTTAAAACCAACCGAATATTCCTAATCTGAAATTAACTGTAACCAAAACAACGTCGCCAGTCATTAAGAATTCAGGACTATGCATTTCCAATTTGCTTGAGCCAACCTTGAATCCTCCTCCATGTATCCACATCATTACAGGTTTCAGATGCTTCTTTTTCGTGGGCAATTCTGGAGTAAAGACGTTCAATATTAAACAATCCTCAGAACCGACCGACTTCTTTTGATACAATGGGTGTCTTGAAAAACATTCATTCCCTTCTTCTGTAGCATCTCTTAATCCATTCCAAGATTCTGGCGGTTGAGGCGCCTAATTATATAGTCTTTATCATATTTATACTATACAAATATTTTTAATAGAATTACCTTAAATCTGAGAGCTCCTAGCGGCGGTTTAGCGTACGGAATAGCATGGAATGTGTAGTAATCTTGATCATTTTGGTCTTTGTCTATTTTACCTTTCAGATCTCCCTGTTTGATGGTAACAATTAGATCAGACATATTGTCAACCTGTGTGTAAGACTGTTCTTAGAATTTTGAGAAGTAAAATTTGATTTTAAATTAATATACTATTTATCGAACCACTTAAGATTTATGTCTTTTATTTGGCACTAATTATTACGACAATTTACACTTTAAGTGGTGTTTCTTGTTATTAAACATTCAAACTTGATTGGTGCATAATAAACAATACAGTAATTATATATAAGCAATTAATGTCAATTTAAATAATTAGTAAGTAAGGAATAAACTTTTAATGCAGTGGCGTAGCAATGGGATATGCAATTTTACATATAGAATTACAGAGAGTGAATATATAAAACTGAATCCATTTACTGGAGAAAATAGTATGAAATAAAAATTTCCTATATTTAAATTATTTTGCTATAAACAGCAATGTTACATTGTTTCAGTAGTTTGTACATACATTTATTATAATCATTACGCATCTTCCGTTTAACTTCATAAAACTGAAGATCTCGGCCTGCTGTCTCTACTGTGTCTACACTTAATGTAGTGTTAAATTTCTTCCGAATTTGGACACACCGGTCTCGAAAGGTTCATTATCACTGACTTAGAGCGAGATGTGCAATGCGGTATTATAATCATTATTTGCATTTCCATGTTTCTCATGTAAATAGTTCCACGAACGGATTTGAAATACCTTTATATTAATTATATCAAACAAATTATTTATATGTTAATAGTCTATACATATTATATTTACTCATTATTATTAAAAAAAAATATATATTTTTTTATAATTTTTTTCGTTCACATATTGCTACGCCACTGCATTTATGTATGTTTGTACAACATAATTTTATCAATGAAATCATAAAAAATTACTCAATAAAAAAAGTGTAACTTATCAGTTTATCTTATAAATCCAAAGTACTCGCTTCTCATATCATGTGAAAAAAGTTGTGAAACAATGATGCGAATGCAATTATTTCCACTCCTTTTATCATGCACGATCAAATTGACTGATCGATATTTATCATATTTAATATAATTAATGTCTGAAATATGCTCTTATCATTGTAGAGATATGATGTAAATAAATATTTATGCTCAAATAAAATTCCTATAATTAACAAAATATGCCAGTCGTTCTAAATAATACTGCTATATAAAGGAAAAGTTTAAGAAAAGTCATAATGTATTCATATTCAATCTATTCCATTATTATTTTTTTTACAAGTTAGAGAAAAGGGTCGGCAACGTGGTAGAAAGTTGAAAAGCAAACACATTAAAATTTTAGAATTCGCTAACTTCATAACATGATGCCCGCCGAACTCTTGTCACGTAACATCCTTAGGAGATTCTCTGAAAAATGTTTGTCTTTTTTTTTTCAAAAAATAAGTAATTATTATATTTTTGCAAATTCTTCAATTCACTTTTCAATTACACTTTATAACTTAAACAGGTAATATAATAGATAATACGACTATGAAAACAATGCGTGCAATTAGAAAAAGTTTTTCAAGGTTGTGATTATAAATTCACTGCAAAACCGTCAGTATTTTTTCCACTAATATTTATTTTATTTTTTAATTAATTTTTACTTTTAGTAGTTCTTCGTCCTCCATTTATCGTCCTTTCAGTATTTAATATTGTATACATTTTCAAAAGCTCTTTCTTTCTAAACAGAATTTTTAATTATTATTTTTGAATCCACCTGATGCTACATTTGTCTTTTCATCATAAAGTTAACTTTCGATTTTTTTTTTGTAAAACTGAAAAAGTCTGTTAACTAGGAAGTTGCTTTTTTAGTTCAATTCACTTCTTTCAAGGCGCTCTAATACTTTTTTTTATATATTTGCATCGCACACACTACCCGCTGGACTTGCTTACATTATGTTATTTAAAAATAAAGCTATTTTTCAATTGAATATAATATTTAACTCTTTGAGGGACGGTGGTACACTCAATGTACCATGTTTTGAACATGCCTAGTCGAGCTTCATTATAATTTTCTAGAAAATGTACCGATGTTGATTAAGTTGACGAAGTTGTCTGATTCAGTTGTGTAAAAATTTGTAGGGTCTAGAAACTTAGGAATTTCTGGCCCCTCGAAGAATTCTTCTCATTATACTCTCCTCTTCACTTGCGCATCTTGCACAATTTCGCCAGCCACTGTTTTTATTAATTGAAGATTTATCTAAACTAGCCTAAGTTACTGGGGTCAAGGGGAAAAACATGTGGGACGACTAAACTAAATAACAACTTTTCAGTACAAATATGTTAGAAGAGTTCAAAGAGTTAAAATAGTATCCTTTATTGATTGTTGATATATCTGCAGATATGACATGTAAACTTGGTAGCATACAGTGGGATTCATCAACATATCAGTCTTTAATAAATATGTACGAATCAGAAATATAAGTATGTATAATAATGTTATCAAGAAATAGATTAAATATGCAAATATTTTTAAAAATATAATCAGTTATCGAGTGTATGTCGATTGCAACCAATCAAGAAATTTCGAATAAAAATTGGAGGTGGATCCAAGAACAAAATAAACAAAATGGAAGGTTAGATCAGCTGCTTTTAATTGTATTTTTGCATTGTATTTATGTTCTGTATTTTTATTGTCCGCAAAATCTTAAAGAAAAAGTAGAAATGTTTTTATTCCGCAAAAAATCCACAGAAAGCAAAACCAATAAAGTGGATGCAGAAGTTGCGCAGACGAAAGATCAAAACAGCGACGAACTGAAATACACTGTCTATGGTAAATAATTCACATTCATTAATAATAAATAATCGCAATCAAAGGTTAGAGGCCAAACTGATATTTGCAGGTTATAAAAATTATATATATACATATATGTTGCCCATATTTTAGATTTCATTCGAACAATAAAAGACCCTGAGAAACCAAACACTTTGGAGGAACTCAATGTGGTTTATGAGGAAGGCGTTTTTGTAAGTTCATTAAATTTGTGAGTGTGTTCTTCAATTAATTCAAAGTCCATCAGGTGAAAGAATCTACGGCTGCTAATACCAGTGTTGTGAGGGTTGAATTTAATCCAACTGTTCCCCATTGTTCATTAGCTACCTTAATAGGACTCTGCATAAGAATTAAATTAGAAAGAAGTATTCCAGATGAGTTGAAATTGGACATTTTCATAAAGAAGGGTGCTCATGCAACTGAAGAAGAAAGTGAGTTAAATGTTAATTATTAAATTGAATATGATCAATCTTTGTTTGCAGTTAATAAACAAATAAATGACAAGGAACGAATAGCAGCAGCTATGGAAAATCCCAAACTTAAGGAAATGGTAGAAATGTGTATTAAGGAAGAATATTGATTGTTTGTTTTGGGTTTTGGAGAATGGATAATTGTACATATTTTTTTATATTCTTATTGCACTTTTTCTAACTTGCAATTGGACCTTATCGCTACTACGATTGTAGATATATTGTTTGTAATATAAATAAAATTTAAGGAATTTATATTCTTATTGCACTTAGACCTTATTGCTATTGTAATGTAAATCAAATTTAAAGAAAGGCAACCAAGTATACTTTGAATTAATTCTAAGCAGCTAACTTCATGCTACTAACTTATTAGTTATTCAATTCAATTAGAATACGTGTTCAATGAAGTTGGGTTATTCGTATTGAATTTAGTTTGACGTTAAATTTATAAATAATAACAATGTGCAAAAATTGAGGGTCGCATGAGAACTTTCAGTTTAAAAATATGTCTAAACAGTGGTATTATGTTTTGTTCCTGCTTTGGTTCACATTCACTGCGGTAACACAGATTTTACTTTTCACAAATGGGTTTTTGCTTACAAGAGTTACACTAAAATTGAACTCGAGTTGTGATCAACAACTAAAATGTGATTCAGAACCTCAATGCGAGAATCTCTTAAATAAATTGGATGATGCCACCACTACATGCCTTGCACCTCGATCAAAGGTTGTGTTACTTATAATTGATGCATTTCGATATGATTTTGCATTATACAATGCATCATTAAGTGATCCACTGCCTTATCAAAATAAACTGCCAATAATTAGTGAAATGATTAACTCAGAACCACAGAATACAAGACTTTATCAATTTATTGCTGATCCACCAACTACCACAATGCAGAGGCTTAAAGGCTTAACCACTGGAAGTTTGCCTACTTTTGTTGATGCAGGATCTAATTTTGCAACCCATGAAATTGATGAAGATAATATTATTGATCAAGTAAGTTGCATACATTATATATTACATTAAGTAATAAATAATTTCTGCTATATTTTTTAGATTCACAAACATGGTTATAATGCTGTATTTATGGGTGATGATACTTGGGATGGTTTATATCCTAATAGATTTATTAGAAACTTCCCATATCCATCATTTGATGTATGGGATTTGGATACTGTTGATAATGGTGTAATAAGCAATTTATTTGATGAAATCCAAAAAGATGATTGGCATCTAATAATAGGTCATTTTCTTGGTGTAGATCATTGTGGTCATAGGTATGGACCATATCATAATGAAATGTCTAGAAAACTAAGTGAAATGAATACTGTGATAAGGTAAATCTGCAGAAACTTATTATATAAAATAGTTTTAACTAAATATGCTTTTAGAAATGTAATTAATTCCTTAGATAAGGAAAGTATGCTGTTTGTAATTGGAGACCATGGTATGACAGCTACTGGTAAGTATTAAGTTTGTTTGAAGTATAAATGATTCTAGTGTCCTACTTTTAAAGGTGATCATGGTGGTGAAAGTGATAACGAAATTACCTCAACAATGTTTGTGTATTCAAAACAGCAATTAACGGATTCTAAGAATCTTAACAATTATACTATCAAGCAAGTAGATTTTGTTCCTACATTGAGTACAATTTTGGGAGTCCCAATACCTTTCTCGAATTTGGGAGCGACTGTATTAGATGTACTTCCAGTTGTTAAATCGGTAATCCCGAATTGGCATAAATCCTTATTTGCCTTATGGGCAAATGCCCAACAGCTAACTGCATACATCAAAACATATGCAAACAATACTCGCACATTCAATAAACAAGATTTGGATAATGTGTTTGAAGATTTTGAAAAATTGAAAGTTATGATGCAGAGCGTAACTGATGAAATCCTGTTTGCGGGATTTGTTAAAAATGTTAATGACTATATAAAGAATGTTAGAAATATGTGCGAAAAAGTTTGGATTCAATTTGATGCTTATTCCATGGCTCGTGGTTTATTATTGTTTTCACATTCAATTATTTTTATTTATTTGTTAGTCAATGGTCTTGGTGATGAAAAATTCGACCAATGCCTAAACAAGTTTGTAATTGGTTCTTTATATGGTTTAACACTGGTTGGTGCTATCGCCAGTTTCATCTTATTATATTTCAATATTGTTAGTGATTTTTACAATACGTTCTACTTCATTTCTGGATTGTGTAACCTAGGTGTACTAATATTCCTCTGCGTACAAAACTTTCAGGAAATCTCGTTGAGTTTAAATGAGAGCAATAAAACCCGAAAATGGAACGACATTGTGTCCAGGATATTGTTAACTTTCAGCGCATTAATGTTATTCAGTAATAGTTTCATTTTGGAAGAGGCTAAGGTCATGTTATTCTTCTTATGCAGTCTGATAGTTACATTCCTTTTAGAATTTGGATTTTTAAATATGGATAAAGTGAATGTCAAAAGCTCAGTGAAAAGAAAAATTGTTATTTTAGGTTTAGCTATTGGAGTGTTAATTAGATTTTCTATGTATTTTTGGAAGTGCCGCGAGGAACAAGGTTGCAAAGATTATTTTGCTTCAAAAGTCTCAAATGTAAACAGAATAGAGTGGATTCTAGCATTTATTTGTTTGGTCATATTTATAGTTGCAACCAAAATTTGGCTAAGATCATGCGGAAATCTAAACGGGTTTTCTTCAACAGTAGTACTTGCTAGGTATTCGCCGCCGCTTATAATTTTGTGCACGATTGGTTTTTGGGTAGTCCATAAACTACCAAGGGACACAAGAATTAAAATTATTGGTCGATGGTCACCTGATACAATGGCATGGATAGTATATGGTTTTACATTCTTTGGAATACTTAGCACTATTATAAAACCTTTATGCATTTATCGACTGAAGCCTAATCAATTGGAAGTTGATATGCGATCGGACAATTTGATACCACAACTAGCCAAGCATGTGATGAGTGCTCAGCCTAAGAAAGATGATGTGCCTTTGGTTTTTGGATTAGCAACTGTTTACAGTGCAGCCTTTACAGTGGTTGCAGTTTACTTGATCTTGTTGTGGTGTTTGTTGCTCGGAGATCTTGTAATGCCGTCTTGCATTGCGCTCGTATTTGTTCTAGCTTTGGTTTTGGTTATCTCCTCCGTTCGTAGATATGAACAGGCTGATTGTGTGGAAAGCCTTTTCGAAGTGCCTTCTTCGCTTATACTTTTCTGGTTTGTTATGTCCATTTATCTATTTTACGGTACCGCACATCAGCCCACTTTCACGAATATAGCCTGGGATGCTGCTTTTGTTGGCACCGGGGGTACTTTAAATTACAAACTAATCCCAGCTGCATTAGTGCTCATAAACACTTTCGGATCTTACCTAATCACAGGCATAACACTACCACTACTTATGATAGCTCCATTTAGTACTCACGTAATGTTACCCAGCTTATTCAACAAAAAGAAAGGAGTTAACTTGGCTCGAGGTGAATTGGTCATTTACGATTACGATCAAGCGTTTCTAAGGGGAGCATTTAAAATGTCATGCAAGTACATCATGTGCCATGCACTCAGGGTAAGTTTTTTTTTTATCATTTAGTTTATGAATTACAACTATGTCGTTTATTTTCAGGTATTCTCCAGTATGTTATCGTCTACAATTCACTGTCGTCATTTAATGGTTTGGAATATTTTTGCTCCAAAGTTAATCTTCGAAGCAATTGCAATGTTCATCACTCTAGTTTCCGTTGTGTTGGGTTACTTACTTATAATTCGCATCAATAACAAAGTCGATCATTTAATTAAACAGTTGAATAAGCAATACAGTTAGTGATACATACAATGGAAAATAATAGATTGTTATATTTAAATTATACTAATTTATTTGATCACTGCCAAAAATAAAGTATATTACATCTAGTCTAATTTTAGATAATTATCTTAAACATTTAATGAACTGTTTTTCTTGTATTATTAAATACATCTGTTTTAGAAGTGCCATTTTTAATAATGTATATCATATTTTGATGAAACATTGTTAAGATTTTTGTCTTTTAAATACTTAGATATTAAAAAAATAGATTCAATTCTTAGTATATGTATATTAAATAAATCATTTCTAAAATCTGCCAGTTGACTTTTGAATTGCATTTTTATTATCAGAGATTGCAGCTGTCCCTAAACATCATTTTCTGTCTTAATTTCATTTCCTAGGTCCGGTCTTTCAAAATTCTTTGTAAAATTCCAAATGGGAATGGTTTATCACTAGGATGACCACATGAGGAAAAGGCATGCCTTCACCGGTAAATAGTATACACCAGACACATCACTCGCATACGACGCAGAACACGGAAAGTCAAAAAGATAGGAAAACAGTCCTCGAGACACATGGCTACTTCTTGGGAAAGACGATCGGGGCTGGATCCTATGCGACCGTGCGGGTGGGTTAATTAGATTGCAAATCCAAAAAACCTAATCTCATCCAGTTTGTGTTCTTATTTATAAATTTCAAGATGGCACATAGCGAATTGCATGGTGGAAATGTAGCTATAAAAATTGTTAGCAAGTATACAGCTCCTGAAGATTATCTCAAGAAATTTTTGCCACGAGAAATTGAAGTTGTAAAAGGATTGAAACACCCGAATCTTATTCGATTCCTGCAAGCTATTGAAACTACACACAGGTATTGGTTAAGAAATTTTTAAAAAAATCCATTATTTACATTTATTTTTATAAAAAACAAAATAGAGTATACATAGTCATGGAATACGCAGAGAATGGAAGCCTTTTAGATATAATTAGGAAGGAGTCTTTCATACAGGAGCAACGTGCTCGGAAGTGGTTCAGACAACTTGTCGATGCAATCGAGTATTGTCACGAGAGAGGTGTAGTCCATAGAGACATCAAGTGTGAAAACCTGTTGATGGATATCAACTACAATATTAAGGTATCAGATTTCGGCTTTGCACGAACGTACGTGAAGCACCAGAACGGACATCCGGTCTTGAGCGAAACTTTCTGCGGAAGCTACGCTTATGCTTCACCGGAGATACTCAGAGGAATCCCGTACCAGCCGCACCAATCAGATATCTGGTCAATGGGCGTGGTTTTGTATGCCATGGTTTTTGGACGTTTACCTTTCGATGACACTAATTATTCTTTGCTTCTGAAGGTAAGTGAAAGAGGGACAAAGAGTCGCATAATGCAGACTTTTACCTTTTCAGCAAGTGTCAAATAAAGTTACGTTTCCTCGAGATCCCAAAGCATCCAGTGCATGCAAAGCTTTGATCAATAAAATTTTGGCACCTCTGAAAGTTAGAGCTCGAATTTCCGGTATAAGGACTGACGCCTGGTTCAACTACACTACAACAGACAAAGCAGGAAGTAGCAAGGAGGTAAGCGTGCCTCTACATACAAGTATATCTCTGTTTCGTGTGCACTAGAATATTATTATGCATAGAGTTTAGTGGACTGTAGTGATATGCTTGGTGTTTCAGGTTTCACTTGAGTATTACAAACTCTTACTGTCGTTGAAAAACAATGACGACCAAGTGGAAACTCAATCATATCCCTACAATTAGACGGAGAAAAAAAAAGTAACTCTCTACGTCCGTTTTTAGGGATCGGAGGTGTCTCAGATTCGTGTCCCAAGTCGGGATGCTATAACCCTGGTAACAAAGAAACAACTAAAGGATGAAGTGAAACGCAAGGAAAAGGCAAACGCTGCTGAAGAGGAGACCCAAATTGCAACGCAATCGCCGGAAACGCCGAATAGATCCGAAGATAAAATAAAAGACAAGAAATAAATGTTCGTTACATTTCTATAGGCGAAATATATTTATTATATAAATGAATGATTTCATCATTAGGATATTTTTACACTTCACAAATTTATAATCATACAAAATGCGAAAAAAAAAACAAATAGTACTGATTGAAATTATTTTCAATTAAATAAGTTACTTTATATACAGTAAATATATACGCTTTTTGTATGTGTAATAAACAAAATTAAGAAATATTCAGTGTGCTCACATACAATTGGCTAAATCATAAAGCTCCATATAGAGATTTATAATATTGTGGGTAATATTGTCTCATTACATACATAAACTTTCTGCCTTAGTTTCAATCTTTGGTTCATTAAAATAGAACATAGGTGTTTTTGTCTTTAAGTTACTGTAAACAAAATATAAAAAAAATGGCACTACTCTATCTAAAAGATGTTTCTTGTTTCATTATCACAATGGAAATCATTGAATTAGTTTTAATATTATATACACATTTTTATCACCTTCAATAATATGAGTACGTCAAAGTGTTGTTCGCTTCTGCCGGATCCAAGAATGGTAGCTCTCGGCACTGTTTTAAAAGGGCGTACGCCGTCGAGTTTATAGGAGCAGCCAAAGTTATTCCCGATGATTGCGAGGATGGAATTCGGATGTGCGAAGTGTTTGTGAAACCTGGTTTCAATTCACGATTACTTTCATGTATCATATTGGCAACTTGACCGACAACATTGATCCTCCTCCATCGGATATCTTTAATCTGCATCAACTCCGGCAAATCGGTTCGAAAATTCCACCTCGACAAGATATCTTCTCGTTTTATAAGTAGAACAGACTCGGAGCAAAGTTGTGGCCACAGCAAACCGGCATCAACGTATTCCAAAGGATTCGTTAAATAAACACCATTCTTGTCAACTCCATAGATCATCTGATGATGCCATGTATCAGGAATGCAACCCAGGCACCTCTGCAAGTTTAAAGTGGCAATTGGTACTGCACCATTCTTAATCCAAAACTCCAACCACTTGTACAAGTTAACTATGCGTTCTGGATACATGTGAAAAAATCTTGCATAAATGTTACCATTTGATAATTTAGTCAGTCCTTCAATGATTTCTTCCTGTGTTGTTTCAGCTACACTACGAGTCAATAAATATTCACATAAAGATAAAGCTCCTGGTTTCTTAACCCTCTCAGTCATACATTCCTTAATTTTATCAATTGGTGGAAGTGGAAATCTTAAGGCATTCAGCACATTCATAACAGCAGTGATAGCAGAAGATGTATTATTCCCTTGTTTTAAAACTGCATCATTAGAGCTCCAAATCATAGCATCAGTAATATTATTCACAAATTCGTCATCACTTTCATTTTTATTCTGTACCAGTGCCCCTTTTATAAATGGTACATTCTCATTAGGAGAACTTAATTCACTTCTGCTCCTCTTTGAAAATCGAAATCTTAGTGACTTTGTTCTCTGTGCTTCATTACATGACCAAGGCATAATTGGATCATCCTTATTAACACTAATTGATACATCAGATTCATGTTCATGATATTCCTCTGCCGACTCATTTACCAAATTTTCATAATTTTCCTGATTTACAGAATTACTTGGGCAAGGGGTTGGCTCAACTTCAAGAACATCATTTTCCTCAACTTTGTCAGTTTCTGAACTTGTATCCACTTCTCCATTATTGCCTGGATCAAAATCCATTTCCAAGTAGTCCATTTCTGGGCTGGAAGTTTCTTCTCTAGCAGGGATTATAACAGGTTCAGGTTCTGGGGGAATCTCCAAAGCAAAAAACGAACTTGGTAAATCTGCCTTGTAAGTGTAGATACAGCCATCATCCGATACTGACAAAATATCATTTTCATCACTGGATGAAGAATCTTCTGTGTTAAATTTGCAATAATTTTGGAAGTTTGAGCATGATGGTTCATCTTGTAGTTGTAAATTGATGTAAGATGTTATCCCATTCATTTTTCTGTTTTCCTCACTGTTCAATGTTGACAGGTTATCCAGGTTATTATTTAACTTTCTAGTCTTCTTTTGTAATGGTGATTTTATTTTTTTTGGTATTGCTCCCTTGCTGTGATCATTGCTCACATTTGCATTGGTATCAGGGGACATTAAAACCTCCTCTTTGACTTCCAGATCCTCCTTTGAATTCATTGTTTTCTTTTTACTATAACCAACAAAACTAAGTAAATATAGTGTTATTCTCAATGTATACTAGTACCTTGTTATACACAAGCTTTCACATTATATACATTTCGTTTGTCAATGAAGTACTAAATTATATAGCTTTTAATTGAAAAACTTTATACTTTAACCAAATTGAAACATGTTTGACAGTCTTCAAACGACATGATCTAATTAAACTGAAGCTTGTTGCAGATGTCAGTTTAAGAATCTTTAATATTTATATTGGGCGGAGCATATAATCTTGATGTTTGTCATTAAATCTTGCAAATGATTACAAAACTTTATCTAATAAATGTTTATTAGTTCAAATCTCTTAAATATTACATAAAATGGCATTATGTACAATAATACTAATTTAAATGTATTTCTTTTTATTTTACAACCAGTAGATGGCAGCAATATCAAAAACAACAATAAAGAATTAATAATTTGTGTCATTTCCTTAAAAATATATCCATAATTAACATAATATATGTACAGAACCGCAGAGTTCCGGTTTGGAAATTGTTCATATTACTACCCTATGTTATATGTTACATTTAGACCCTACTGAGCACGCGGCGGAAGCTAAATGAGAAGGGTGGTGGGTGGTGGAAGGAAGAAGAATCTAATATATGAAGTTTATTAACGAACAATTATTGAGTGTTTAATGAAATTATACAAACACAATATAATTATTGTAAATATATCAATTTATTTGTATTTATTGATGAGTTTTGATAAAGAACAAAGAAATCAAATAAAACCCGTTAATATTTGAAAAATAAGTAACAAGTACAATGTTTTACATAAGTTTATGATATTATTATACATTATTAAAATATTGTATGGCTACATGAATTACATACGATATTTTTTTAAAGTTGTTCTTATAATAAACAATGGATGATGCGCGAAGACTTGACCAATAGTCGAGCGAGTTGTGCGCGCGGTGGGGGTCGGTTTCCGTTAAAGATGGCCGAAAAAACCGTGTTGTTAACACAGCAATTATTAAAACCGATAAAAATATTAAAATGGAAAGTGAGCGAAGGAAATTCAATGTCCATCGGTCGAGTGATTCTTCTGTACGATTTCGATGGGGTGTCAAAGCCGGAACAACGTAAGCTAAAGTCGCAACAGGCTGGAACAGTACACAAGATAATCCAACCGGAAGGCGCCATCGTCAAGCCTGGGTAAGTCCATGTTTAAAAAAGCGCGGGAATTTTTTTAGCGGTATTTTTTAAATTTTAGCGACGGACTCCTGGAGCTGAGGGAATGCATACATCCTACGGTTATGAAAGATATGTGCGCAGAATGTGGAGCCGATTTGAGGAAACATGATGCAACAAGAACAGCATCAGTGCCAATGGTACATGCTATACCTGATTTAAAAGTCAGTGAAGAGGTTAGATTGAAAGAGATCTGAAATTATTTTGATATTAACAGAATCATTTATTCTGTAGGTTGCACAGAAATTAGGCAGAGCTGATGGTGAAAGACTTTTGAGGGACCGTAAACTAGTACTTCTAGTAGATTTAGATCAAACTCTTATTCATACAACCAATGACAACATACCTCCTAATATTAAAGATGTATATCATTTTCAATTATATGGCGCTAATTCACCATGGTATCATACACGTTTAAGGCCTGGTACCCATAAATTCCTTGGAAATGTTTCACCACTTTTTGAGTTACATATTTGCACCTTTGGGGCTAGGAACTATGCACACACTATTACAACATTTTTGGATAATGATCAAACTTACTTTTCCAATAGGATTCTCTCAAGGGATGAGTGTTTTGATCCTACAAGTAAAAAAGCTAATTTAAAGTTAGTTGCAAAATAATTATATTTCATACATTATTTATTTACTTATGCATTTTCAGAGCGTTATTTCCTTGCGGAGACAACATGGTCTGTATCATAGATGATAGGGAGGATGTTTGGAATCATGCTTTAAATTTAATTCACGTGAAACCATACCATTTTTTCCAACATACAGGTGACATTAACGCACCCCCAGGGCTAGATAAGCAAGAAAATGATGATAAAGAAGGTGTTGATTTAAGTATATTAAAGAGCAAGCTAAATGGTAAAAACTTAAAGGAACATGATAAGAAAAATGGCGTGGAGAAAGAAAAAGTAAATGGAATGCAAAGAGCAGATGATGTAAATAATGTTGAAGGTATTGAATCAAATGAAAGTGTAAATAATGAAAAAACAAATGGTAAAGATGTAGATTCTAAGGTTACAAATATAATATCCACAAAAGAAGAAACTATAAAAAAAGAGGATGTAGAAATTGATGTTCAAATGGAAAATACTGTTCAAAACAAAAATAATGGCAACGAAGAGAGTACCAAAATTGAAGATGTTGATAAAATAGAATCTGATTGTAAAGTTCAAAATAATTCTGATGTTGATAATATTAATTCTGAGGAAAATTCAGGTTGTAAAGATAATGTTAACTCTGAGGATAATGGGAACGAGCTTAAAAACAAAGAGGAAGAGTTAAACGATAAAAAAGTTGAAAATAAAGAGGAAGAGTTAAACGATAAAAAAGTTGAAAATAAAGATGAAGATCTTATCGAAATCGAAGATCCAGATGATTACTTGCTGCATCTAGAAGATATTCTGAGGCGAATTCATATAAAATTTTACGAAGAATATGATAAGATGGAATCGGGAGACGTTCCTGATTTGAAACAAGTGATACCTAATGTTCGAAGCGAAATTTTAAAAGGTACTAAACTTGCGTTTAGTGGTTTAGTGCCTACACATATAAAATTGGAGCAGTCGAAAGCGTATCAAGTTGCAAGAAGTTTAGGTGCTTTAGTTACACAAGATCTCAACGACGATTCCACCCATTTGGTAGCTGTAAGACGGGGAACTGCTAAAGTAATTGCTGGTAGAAGAAAAAAGAATTTAAAAATTGTTACACCCGATTGGCTTTGGTCCTGTGCTGAGAGATGGGAGCATGTGGAAGAAGCAATTTACCCATTAAATTCGAAAGGATCAAAAAATAGGCATCCACCGCCGCATTGCTCGAGCCCGGAACATGTACCAAATTATCCGACTCATGATACACCTGCAATTAGAAAACGAACACCTAGTGGAAGATTTATGGATACAATTAATCCACTGATGTCTTTTTCTAGAGATGATATCGCCGATATGGATAAAGAGGTAAAACAGTTAAATTTTAAACCAACAGTTTTTTAAATTAACAATTGTTCTAGGTCGAAGATATACTGGACGATGAAAGCGATGAGAGTGAAGTCGAGGAGGAAAGTAGTTCGAGGATGGATGAAGCAAATACAAAAAAAGAAGACGAGACCAGTAGCAGCAGCAGTAGCTCCGATGAATCGCAGAAAATCAAGAGCCACAAACGGACCTACGATGATGCTTTAACCCAAGAGGATAATCTGGATACGGATTGTCCAAGTACAAAGTTGCGGAAAGAACAATTAGAAAGTGATTTAGACATAGATGATTCAAACAGTGAAGCAAGTGTCGATGCACCGGATGGAAAAGACAACGACGAGTTGGACATAATGGGTGCCGCACTTGAACGGGAGTTTCTTTCCAACAGCGAATAATCATTTAATTCTTTTTTATAGTTATTTTTTTAATTCTGCGGGTTGACGAGAGAATATTTTTTTAAGCGAAAGGAATAAATAATTTTTACTGTATAATTCAATTATTTTGCTAAATAAGACTTGTTACAAATGAAACAGTATTATTTTTCTAGTTTAAAATGCATTTTTTTAATTATTATTTTGTCATTAAGTATGTGTAGGTTGTTAAATTAAAGAAAATACAAACAGTTTAATTAAAAACAATTCTATTTAAACTAAAGCTTGCACATCAAAAAAACATCAATAACTATACTGAATAAGGCTGATCCTTGCCATCTTCATGATATTTGGCATAAGTCTCAACATGAGAGAAATCTTTCTTGTCCTCTTGCCAACCCCTCTTAGGGGCTTTTGTATAATCAAATCCTGTGGGTAATTTCCCATATGCCTGGTTGACTTTATCGATTTGATCTCTGAATTTACCAGCTACCACATTTTTGCCAGTGAATGGGTCTGTCACATCACCCAACGGATAAACAATTTCTTTAACTTTGTGTGTAATCAGTCGGGATAACTTCTCTGGCAACTTTTCTATTAGTACAATATCACCAGTCTTGCACTTTTTCTCAGGGTCGTGTGCGAAAATGTAATCATCTTTTCTGAAATACTATAATCAAGTGTTTAGAGGTTAAGTTACAAACAATTACCAAAAAAATACCATCAGCAAATGTTGATCTAATTCTAAACGTTTTATTTTGAATTTCGAAGCATTCTGCTTAACGCAGGGCACACATTCACCAATTAACTGCAAAGATTTAGTAGCCGCGGCCAAAGCCATTTTCTTATTTGATTATATATTTTGAGGTTAACACAGGACTGATCATAATAAAGTTTAAAAAATAAAATCATAAAAAATATTTATTACATAATTTGAACATATGTTATAAACCATTACTTTCTTTAATAAATATTTTATTAAAAAAATATATAACACAAAACCAAATTATGTTTTGTTGGTTGCTTCAATTTTTCTTATGGCTAAGATTAGTCATTATTAACATAGATGGCTCTTGCTTTTCATAGTCTTGATATTTAAAAATATAAAAAAATCAACTAAAACTATATTTTATTGTGATTAAACATCACCATCATAAACGTAGTCATCTTTGCAATTTAGTTAGAATTTATAATTATTATATATATTTTCTTTAATGAATATATAGTCCAAATCATATTTGAAAAACTTCAAAAATAACAATGGAAAATTTTGGGAGAATTATTATTATCTACGGGAAAATGTAACACGTCCAATAAATAGAATTTGCGAAACTTTTGAAAAGTTATTCCTGCCATTGAAAACGTGTAATTTAATAAGGAAAGTAAGTTTGAGTGGCTGGAAAATAGGAATATTCAAAGTTTTGTTGCAAAGTAAATGTAGAGATGGATACTGGTTCGCAACTTATTTATTCGAAATAACTTTTATTCTTTGCATATTTAAATCGTACATTTGTCGATGATCTAAGTAATATATTTTGGATTGATAATTACACTGTTAATCGACGAACTTGAGACTTGTAAGTTTAATGCCAGGAAAACATTTCTTAGGAGAAAATTGAGATTGAGGATGGAGATGGAGGAGTTTTGGATTTCTGTTTTTATATATTTTTAATGAAATTTGCATAAGGATTTGTAAAAAGTAGTGGGCAAGTTTACAGATGAAGCCGCAGATATAGCGCCGAGGACCCGTCGACTTTCAGTACACGCCGAAGCGTCGCGACGCTCGCTACGAACGTCACTCGCTAGCTGAGCATTAAAACAACAAGAAAGAAAAATAAAAACACGCTCCAATTCACAAAATATTCATTAAAAACGAAACATTCACGGGTAAGTCTATGTAATGTATAGTTTGTTATCCTTTTTTTGTGTAGTATATTCAAAGAAAAAGCTATGTCATATTCCTACATGTAATGTAGAACTTATTTTAATGCGGAAACGAACTTTCTCATTATGTGTTATATCGCATACGAACTACGACGCGTAGTTTGTTTGGTGTGCAAATAAAATTAGAATATTATTTAGACAGTGTAGACACAGAAGATTTTATTGCTCCTTGCCCGGGTTTGCTTTTACTGATACTGATACTATTACTATTATTGACATTGTTCATATTAAAACAAATCGGGTAATTCCGTTTCTGCATAAACAGAAATACAGCTATGGCCCTATTCTTGTAATTTCGAAGCACGTTTCCAAATCCTTATCAAACCGTTATGCACAGACCATCTGTACCATCTTAGCAATTATATTATTATTGTAATGGGTATAATTACATGCAATCAAAGCAAATTATACCTTATTTTGTAAAAAGTTTAAACATTTAGTAATTTTATTCTTTTGTAGTACTTTAATCATTAGTTAACAACAGACGATTAGATTATATTTGTACACATAATATTTGGAATAATAAAATAATATTGCAAATACAGATAATTAATTATTGGGTGGTAATTGTACAGCACGGAATTCATTTTAAAATTATTCAGTTTCTGTAATTTGATAATTAATTGGTTTTTGTATCAAAGCAATGGATATTTCATTTGCTTTTATCAAATTAATTAATTAATTAATCAAAATGAATAAACTAAATATTTGTTATTTTGATCAGAAGACTATTGGCCGTGGTCTTTCAACAGTATTTTCCAATATTTTCATACCAAGTAGTGTTGTTGAACCGGTAATTCCTGGGAATTTTGAAAAAATATGTACCCGGAAATTATCTTTCGATACTCGAGAAATTTCAAAATTGAAAATGGCACTAAAATATATCTAAAATGCATTTTTGAAAGTGTGAAATACATAGTCATAGTCTGAACTTAATTACAGCCTTAACGAAAATGTAAAATATTCAATCTCCTACAAAACAGGATCAATATAAAGTACTAACAAAATAATTCAATATTTTTGAAGGAACTGGAAATTTAGATATTCTATATAATTCACTCTTCTCATCAAAACCAACAAGTACTGAATATGCTACAAAATTAAGAAATATACTTTCAGATGGAGTCCTTAAATTTCAATATATATACATATAATAGATAATTATGTTTCTTTTAATGTTTATTTAACAAATATGTAGTTTACTATTTGTTATATTGGAATTTTTTATAATTATTTTTTTTAAAGAAAATACCAGTTAATTGACTGTCTTTAGTGCATTGTAAAATATAATATAGAATAAATAAATTGTTTATAATATTATGTATTTTATTATTTACATTTTTTTTTAATTTCTCGAGAATTCCCGGGAATCTCATTAAAAGTTGTTCGTGTCCCGGGAATTAGCTTGTTAAATATGTATCAATATGTGCAAAGTTGACAATTTCGCTTCTGTTTATATTACTTCCTTGAATGTCGTGAAATGCGTATTCCAAGTTGTACTTCATCTTACATTAAAATATCTTCACAGTTTCCATTTGCAATTATTTACGAAGCATACCGAGAATATACATATTTGATTCCTAAAAAGCTAAACGGCAGAAGCGGCGCTGAAGTAGAACTCCGTTCCTCCAATTCAATCCAACTTTAATGAAATGTAAACTCTGTCAATAATTTTTATCCATTAGGAATGTCAATCCCGCACTATGCTCCAGCTTTATGTTTTATTCAAATATAAAAGAAATCAATCTTTTATATAATATTATAAGTATTATACATTTCATTTATTACAATTTTCAATACATTATTTATTAATATTTATTTTTTATTAATATTTTCAAATTATCTTTTTACCTTTACATGTTAAAGACAATGTTACAAGCATTTTGGAAAAGATGTTTTAATGAATGGTTTGATGAACTTGTTGAACAAATTCTGGAGTTTTCGTTCTGTCAGAGCATTTAGAATGTTTCTGTTCTCCAAATACTTACGAACTTTATCGCTATGATCTAGAGACTTTCAGAAATCGCGCTATTTACAAATATTCATGAGTCCTCAAGCACTCTGTATTTATTATTTTTTTAATAATACAGTGAAAAACCTTATATAAATCAATACCCAATTTCAGTGAATGTTATGTTATTCAGTATTAAATATATTTTCTTAATAGCTGCATCAGATTTATAGTTCCATCGATCGTTTATCCAAATGATTCCATTTTGCAGAACGGGTTCAAATATTCCGTGCAGTTCACTGGGGTAGAAATGATGATACGAATTAAACGATAAGAAGTATCAACGTTCGGCTTAATTTCGCCAGCCAAACGGTTCATGAATTTATCAAAGCCTCTCAATCAAAAGCCTCTTAGCAGCAGCATCATTGTTGTTACACAGCAACAGCGATTTAACATAAATTTTGCTAATTACATTTTGTACAAGAATAACTCATACATTATTCATTTACTATAATTTATTACGAAATACGTTTAAGTAAGTGTACGCCATTTTAATTATGGATCGCTTTTTCATTCAAATTTCAGTTTAAAACAGACTGAAAACCAAAGAAAAATGCAAAATTTAAAATCGCCCTAAACGCAATGATTTTGCTTTAGAATATAAAGTTTGAATTGTTTTAATATTTATATATCTAACTAGATATATCGACAAACTGGTGGAAGAGCCAAACCTCTATCTTATAACAAGTTAAAATTTATTTGAGAGCCACAAACTTATGATTTTGTTTTCATTTTCAAAATTGTTCAATTTTGAAGTTGAATAAATTATGTTAATTAAAACAAGAGGATTTAATAATATAATATTTCAATTGCAAATATATACCAGAAATAATTATATAGTGATGTCTGAACGAACACCAACAAAAAAAATACACGCGTGCATCCTTTCATTATGTTAACGCCAAAATACTGCGCGCACAAAGCAAAGCCGTATTTCAATTTCATCTATTTCACTGGCTATTAATTAAATTGGATCAGCAGTTGCGTATCGGCGCAATGAACAAGCAGCGTAAAATGTTCAACTTGAAAAAAAAGCAACTCTGTATTAATTACTTATTGACCAATTTTTAATTATTTTACTTTGTAGTTAATTTTACAAATTCGCTTATTTTCTGTCAATCTAATTGATAAAATAGATCCATACTCTAAATATTCATTGAAAGTTACTTTGTACTATTATTGAATTTTGTCGTTTTAAAAATAAATGAATCAGATTTATTAATTTCTCTAATTTATGATTAAAGAAATAGGTATGTCACAAAAACGAAGGTGGCCACATTAAGAAAGTCATGGGTATTAGATACCTGTTAGTTGATTAGGTTAGTTGGAAGATGGTGAGTTCGAAACTCAGACCAAAATCCAATGCATAAGAATTAATTCGTGACATAAACAGTACCGTGATTAGTAAATGAACGTTTGATCTTGTAACATCGAAATAATTTCATAGTTTGAAATTAATTAGTTATTGATTATGCTTGTCAATATGCTGAATGGTCGGAATTACGTACTTTTACTTGATGGTGTTGACAATCCCTGAGCATCAAAGCGGCGAATGCTGTTTATGAAACAACCCTCGCACCTGATAAATGTATGCAATCGATTTTTTGGTACGTTTTAGTATCGATTCGTAGAAATAACTTCTGTTCATTCCTTCCGACGATTTTAAATTTCGAATGAAAATTGTAGCCAAACACGGAAGTAATTAGCGGCCCTCAAAGCTTTACTCGAATTTCACACAGTACACCGGAAAAAGTTACGATTATTTGAGTTTAACGCGTTTTGTTTCACTAAATCTAACGATTTTATAATGCAAATTACTTTTGTTGTTTCCTTGTGAAACACAGTCCGTGCAAAAGGTACTGCGAACTAAACACATTCTTTAATTAATTCAATTAACTGCACTGATTTGTTTGCAGCTTATCCATATACGTCATTGACATTAGGCTTAGGATTTAAAATTGAGTTCCTAGCAAGATTGCTAAGAATATATGAAATTGCTCTGGAGCCGTTTGCGGCTCTTTTGATCACAAAATGCAGTTCATTGTGTTATAGTCAAAAAAGTAAAATATTTGGAATAAAGTTCCAGAAGGAATTAATTTCAACATTAGGAATTCTCCTCGTAGTCATTAACTAAAGAAATGGAAATTCTACACTTTGTTATCAACTAAATATATTTGAAAATTTAATTTCCCCCTTCTCAATGTGCGGCTCCTCCTAAACTTAAAAATGGCTCTTTGCACCAAAAAAGTTGCCGACCTTTGGTTTAGGGGAATATTCTATATGAAATTGCGTAATATAATATGACCAATTCAAACTGAATTTGGCATTACTCACAACACTTATCCAATACAAATATATCAAATTTTATTTTACAGTTGTTCTGGTCGGGTGGACTAATTTCGCTCTAGCTCTCGTACTTGCTCTTGGTAGAATGATTGTTTAGTAATTTCATATGTGAAGGGTCGTTTTTCATGAAAAACCATTCAGTGCGAGATTACCTATAATAAATATTCAGTTAATACCAGTTGACATATATTGAGATCGTACCGATAATCATAATATTACCATATTCCTAGCAAATTGTGAAGGAAATGAATTTATTTATCGACATGCAACAACCTCAACTTCATTACGCAACACTTTACATGTCGCGAAAAGAAAAGCATCGATTTAAATTCAAAAAAATATATATCGTGTAAATTATTTTAATGAAAATTATGGTCATAAAAGTAATTGAGAAAAAATATCGCTGTTTAATTACTGACACTAGTAATAATAATCTCCAGTTAGTGTGCCCGAATTTTATTGTTTTTGATCACTAATGCAATATTAATCAAGTAATATTGATTTCAATGATATGAAATGAATGTAAATACATGCTTATTTTGAAGGACTGCATACATAAATAAATTAATTACATATCCAATAAACT